TCCAACCTCCCCCCCACACTCTCCCCCTCCAACCTCCCCCCACTCACTCCCTCACACTCCCTCTCCCCACCCACTCTCCCCCTCCAACCTCCCCCCACCCACTCCCTCACACTCCCTCTCCCCACCCACTCTCCCCCTCCAACCTCCCCCCCCACTCTCCCCCTCCAACCTCCCCCCCCACTCTCCCCCTCCAACCTCCCCCCCCCCCACTCACCTGGCTCCACCTCGCCCTTGATCGTGCCGATGACGTTGTACGACCTGGCCTTCAGCTCGTAGTTGTGAGTCTGGAGGCGGAGTCTGTAGTCGCTGAAGTCGGACTTGAAGTACGGTCCGAGGTTGTACTCGACGCCCTCCAGTCCTCCGACCCAACCCTCGGGCGTTGGCTGCTCGCCTTGGAGCTTCCTGGGGAGGGAAATGAGGTGTGAGGTTGAGATGAGTTGGGTGTGGGGTTGAGATGAGTGAAGTGTGGGGTTGAGATGAGTGAAGTGTGAGGTTGAGGTGAGTTGGGTGTGGGGCTGAGATGAGTGAAGTGTGGGGTTGAGATGAGTGAAGTGTGAGGTTGAGGTGAGTTGGGTGTGGGACTGAGATGAGTGAGGTGTGGGGCTGAGATGAGTGAGGTGTGGGGTTGAGATGAGTGAGGTGTGGGGCTGAGATGAGTGAGGTGTGGGGCTGAGATGAGTGAGGTGTGGGGCTGAGATGAGTGAAGTGTGGGGTTGAGATGAGTGAGGTGTGGGGCTGAGATGAGTGAGGTGTGGGGTTGAGATGAGTGAAGTGTGGGGCTGAGATGAGTGAAGTGTGAGGTTGAGGTGAGTTGGGTGTGGGACTGAGATGAGTGAGGTGTGGGACTGAGATGAGTGAGGTGAGTGATGTGTGGGGTTGAGATGAGTGAGGTGTGGGCTGAGATGAGTGAGGTGTGGGCTGAGATGAGTGAGGTGTGGGGTTGAGATGAGTGAGGTGTGGGGTTGAGATGAGTGAGGTGTGGGGTTGAGATGAGTGAGGTGTGGGGCTGATATGAGTGGGGTTTAAGGTGTGTGGGATTAAGATGAGTGGGGATGAGGTGAGTAGGGTGTGAAGTGAGTGGGGTGTGAGGTGAGGTGGGTGGGACTGAGATGAGTAGAGTTGAGGTGAGTGGGGTTAAGATGAGTGGGGATGAGGTGAGTGGAGTGTAAAGTGAGTGGGATGAGTTGGGTGGGGTTGAGGTGAGTGAATGAGTGGGGTGTGAGGTGAGATGAGAAGTAGGGTGGGTGAGATGACATGTAAGAAGAAATGAAGTTAATTATGTTTGTTTTTTCTTTCTTTTTTTTTCCTTTCTGGGAGCAAACGGGGTGACAGAAAAGGAGAAGAAGAAGGAAGAACAATGATAGCATAACGAAAAAATGAAGAAAAATGACCAAAAATACATTCAAAAATATTTAATTAACCTCACATCTCAGTAATGAATAAACATCCATCTCTTCTTATATAGAGAGTCCATTTGCCATAATAACTCAAAATATTTAATTAAAACACACAAATGCTTTTATCCCCGTGCGATGTTGTTCTAGATTCTTCCGTAAAACTTTCATCATTGTGTACATAAAAATAGATAAATGTGCGTGTGTATACATACATACATACATACATATCCCTTTATCCTTATGCGTTCAATCCCAAATGATCAAAATATTTCATTAAAACACACACACTTCAATAATCCATATTATCATGTATACACAATCTTAAAATCTTAAAATATTTCATTAAACAAATATTACTTAATCCTCTACAATAAAGAGTCATAAAACACACACAACCTCAAGATCTCCCATCCTTATATATATATGATCCCTCTGATACAATATGTCAAAACATTTCGACAAACACAACAACTCAGCCATAAACAAAGATCTTTTTTTATCCTTATATACACAATCTCTCTAATACAAGAGCTCAAAACGTTTCATTAAACACTACACACACATCTTACCATTGCATGAATAGATTTCTCTTATCGTTTATACGAATAATCCCTACTTACTCTAAGATCACTTTCGCGTCGTTGTAACCAATGGGCTGGCAGGGAATTTTAGCCAGGCCGGCTTCCTCCTTATCGACGCGATAAGCATGTTCTGAACATGAATGGAAACATGCGTCAGTTTACGGGGTTTAATGAGGGAGCTTCATGTGTTTTAGTGAGATTACGTTTGACTTTATTTATTTATGCAAGTCATGTTATATGATCTGCTTATCTTAAATCAGGCATTGATTTGATCATATTAGAAATATATATATATATAAAATACATCACTTTATTACTAAAAAAAAAGAAAGCAAATTTAATAATCCTTTGAAACTCCTATTCTTTTTCTGTTACACATAAAAGAATGTGTTTAACTTTCTAAACCTCTAGCAAGGAGAAATATCTTTTAACCCTAATTAGGCAAAATAAAATCTCTCTTGAACCCCTAATTAAGAAAAAAACAATGACCTTTTCCTAGTCAAGATAAGAAGGTTATAATACAGAACATAAAATTATAATAAGAAGATTAATAACAACATAACTATTACTATCATAACTATTACTATCGTAACTGTTACTATTATAACTATTACTATTATAACTATTACTATTATAACTATTACTATTATAACTATTACTATTATAACTATTACTATTATAACTATTACTATTATCACTATTACTATTATAACAATTACTATTATAACTATTACTATCATAACTATTACTATCATAACTATCACTATCATAACTATCACTATCATAACTATCACTATCATAACTATCACTATCATAACTATCACTATCATAACTATTACTATCATAACTGTTACTATTATAACTATTACTATTATAACTATTACTATTATTTCTATCACTATTATTACTATCACTAGGATTACGATTACTAATATTACTATTACTATTGTTACTATTACTATTATTACTATTACTATTATTAATTATTATTACTATTATTACTATTATTATTACTATTGCTATTATTACTATTATTGCTATTATTACTATTACTATTACTATCATTATTATCAATGTTATTATTATTATCATTATTATTATTGTTATTATTATCATTATCATTATCATCATTATCATTATTATTACCATTATCATTATCATTATTATCATTAACCTTTTCATTACCATTATCATTATTACTATTATTATTATTGTTATTATTACTAATATTATCAATATTATTTATTTTGTTATCGTTAATATCATCATTATCACCAATATCATTATCACCATCATTATTAACATCATAAAAGAAAGAAGAAAAAGAAGAACAGAACAGTAACAACAATAAAAACAATGATAATGATAGTAATGGTGATAATGATAATGATAGTGATAATGATAGTGATAGTGATAGTGATAGTGATAATGATAATGATAATAATAATAATAATGATAATAATAATGATAATAATAATGATGATAATGATAATAATGATAATGATAATGATAATAATAATGATAATAATAATGATAAAAATGATAATAATAATAATAATAATAATAATAACAATAATAATAATAATAACAATAATAATAATGATAATAATAATAATAATAATAACAATAATAATAATAATAATAATTAATAATAATAATAGTGATAACCTATTACATAAGATAAAATATTGCTACCCACTAAGCTAACCTCACGTGACCTTACCTGTCGACGGCCAGCCAGGGGTCAGGGGGTCACCGTCGCCCATGAAGGTGGTGCCCCGCTGCATGCCCGTGCCCGGAAGCCAGCCCTTATTTGGGTACACGACGTCTTCTGTGACCCCTTCAAGTGCCACGTCCTGCGGGTCTGAGAAAAGAATAATGCCCACAGCACCTCGGTCTTGGGCGTGTTGGATCTGTGGGAGGCCGGGGTTAAAGATGTTGATTGGATAAGGGAATAGATATATCAGTGTTTGGAGGGGGGGGTTAAAGATAGATTTGGAGGTTTTTTGGGGGGGGTAGTTGATTTTTTTTTTTTTTTTTTTTTTTTTTTTTTTTTTTTTTTAAAGGTGGGGGGGGGTAGAAAGTGTGTTGTGAAGGGGGTGGGGCGTTGGAACGGGAAGGGGGGGGGGAGTATTTTCTTTAATATATATCATAAGAACCACAGAAGCATCGGAAGAATATAGCAAATCATATTGAATTATGTATGATTTTTTTCTTTTTTTTTTGAGAAAGGAGGTAAAAAGAAAAGAATATTTAGTTTTTTTCTGGGCCAAGGAGGAGTGTTTAAATACAAACAAACAAACAAACAACAGCAACGACACTAGAACAAACATCGAAGAATAACAACTCATAACACCTTACCTTGTTTCCTCTGAAGATTTTCCCATAGCGAGCCATGGCAATCTGACCCGCTACGTTAACGCCCAGTTTCTCCAACTCGTCAAAGTCTTCAACACGCCCATAGTTAACGTAGACCACGCCCACTCCGGGATCAGTTGTGATGTCACCTTGAATGGTGAAGGAAAGGAGAGTTTAAAGGAGGGTGACTTGGGTTATATATTTTTTTTGCTTTGTTTGTTTTTGTTATTGATTTGTTTCTTGTTTTGCTTTGTCTTGTGATTTTTTTTTATTCTTGTGGGTTTTTTTTCTTGTGTTTTATGGACACAGACAGAAAATGAAACAAACAGAATTGGATATACACAAAAACATGTAAACAAACACACACGCGACGCCCACTCTCCCCTCCACACATACACACACACACACACACACACACACACACACACACAGCCCCCCCCCCTCCACACACACAACCCCCCCCTTCACACACACAACCCCTCCTCTCCTCTACACACACACAACCCCCCCTCCACAAAGACATACAACCACCCGCCCCTCCACACACACACACACACACAACCCCCCCTCCACACAGACAGACACACACACACACACACACACAACCCCCCCCCCTCTCCCCTCCTCACACATACACATACACACACACAAACACACACACACA